GTTTCTAGGTTTGTCAGCACCGTGCTCGTGGGTTTCACAGAAGTGGTAAACGTCTGCGACCTGCATCACTTCGGGCTTTCCTCCCACATTAAGCTGACACGCCGTGATATAACTGGAATACTGTTAAAAGAGGCGTTAAACCCAACTCAGTCCGGACCTGTAAGAGCAGTCACACACACACGTGCATGCACGTCGCTATATAAATGAAATAATCTTGGACGCGACGTTAAACCCCATTTCACCTCACCTTCACCTCGACAGTCAGTCTTTCCATCGTCATCACTTTAAAAGTTTAGAAAAAGCTAAAAGCTGAAATTCGTTCTCGTATTTCACCTTCACTTCTGGTCCGTTGTTAGTTTCAATAGCGGCGTTGAAACCACAGTAAGAAGGTGCTAAGTTACTGCTAACCCCCTCTTGGTAAGCCAGATGCGGAGCCCTGTCAAGTGGTATTCCGGTACAACAGTGACAAATCATAGTCCGTTTGGCTCCAAATGAGAACCATGAATTGCAGAAAAACTAAAAATCGGGAATAGTCTTAATTAATGTCAATACGGTACACGGAAAGGAATACCCTACCCAACAGCATCTGCTTAAAAGCACTCATGGTCATGCATGCTGTGTGAAAATCCCAGTCTAATTTATTTGTGCCACCTGGTAGGAATCAATTCGGATGCTTAGTAAAATGAAGTGGTATGCCGGATGCCTAGAGGGCAGGGGTTGACAGTCTGTAGTAACTCATGACTTGGGCTATGCAACCCAAGCACGTCAAACTGATGACACACGTCATACTGATGGCACACGTCATACTGTTCACACGCTTTTCCCATGTCATACGGTGACATTTTGGAATTTCATGGCGGTGGGGTAGGGTAGCCTAGTGGTTAAAACGTTCGCTCTTTGCGCCGAAGACCTGGGTTCGATTCTCCACTTGGGTACAATGTGTGAAGCCCAGTTCCGGTGTCCCCCGCCGTAATATTTCTGGAATATTGCTAAAAGAGGCGTAAAACCTTACTCACTCGACAACATATCTTACGTCCTTTTAAACTAAAGCTGACTTTCGCAACTTCTAGTGTGTGTGTGTGAGTTGGGTTTAACGCCGCTTTTAACAGTATTCCAGTTATTTCACGGTGTGTCAGCTAAATGTGGGAGGAAAGCCCGAAGTGATGCAGGTCTCGGACGTTTACCACTTCCGTGAAACCCACGAGCACAGGTATGGTGCTGACAAACCTAGAAACATAATCGGGGCGAACCAGGATTCGAACCCACAATGATAGGTTTCTGGCGTGCCCAAGGGACGCAACTCTGCACAGCGAATCGCGCCTTAGAAGACTGGGCCACCCGTGGCCCCCGTCGCAACTTCTAAACTTACATGGTCCAAGGTAACATATCTTGGCGAAACTCATTAAAATGCTAAAAGGGTGAGCATTTGTGATGGTGTCACACACACGTTACTAACAAGAATAGGTGTCATAAAACTGTTGTTTACATTTTCGTTTGCTTTAATCAAACGAGTTTGAACATGCCACAGTAAAAGTCTTGTTCCCGGAAAAAAATTAAGGGAATCAGTCAAGTATGCGGCTGGTGGTTAAAATTCTTGTTTTCATTACACATCAGACTTAATGACGAATTGACCGAGTCAATTAGTGAAGAGAAAGAATGGGTAGTTCCGCCCACATCCCGAACTCCACACAAAAGGTTGGATCAACCAGACACTGAACATCGAAAAGGTCAGACGTAGCCTTAGTCTGTGGTCATCGAGAAACCAACCAAAGGAGCCCAAGGGCTGTTGACAGCGCGAGAATTACAAACAGTTAACACATTATCTCCATCGCTGGAAGCATCGGGCGTTAGTTTCAAGGTCACTCAGCTTATCTTGTCCTCTGGCCAGCTGCAACAGTGATGAGGTTCCAAGATGTTGACAGATCAAAACGCAGCGTCGTCAAAATATGAAACATCAGCAGTGACAAAGACTCTTTTCATCATCTTGTGACATGCACAGGGGCTTGTCAAAACAAACATTTAGCAGCTTCAAGACATATGGTCACTACGTAGGACTGTATGGACGTATTCTTTCTTAACGACCACCTCTGTGGTCTAGTTGGAAGAGCGTCTGCCCGGAGAACGGGAGGTCGGGGATTCGATCCCCGGTCGCATCATAGCAAAATACGTTAAAAGATGGTTCTTGTTACACTGCCTTGCGCTCGGCATTAAGAGGGTTAAACAACGAATGGTCGGCTCGGAATTAGTACACTGTGGGGTAGTCATGTTATATAGCGTTGGGTATCTAGGTGAGCTACCATTAAAAAACCGGCATTTGTCCGGACTAGTGCAAGCAGTCACACACGTGTATACACGTCGCTGTATAAGTGAAATAATCCTGAACGCGACTTTAAACCCCATATTTTTTGCAGCTGCTAATCCTTTTATATAATGCTGGTAGTGCACTGGAAGTGGCCATACAGCTGTTCGTGTTTGAGTAACAAGTCCTGTGGTGTGACATGGAATAAAATTTGGCAGTGGGAGTATTTGGATTTGACGCTGCTTTGGAATGTATTCGGCTTGTCTACGTCTATGTCATTACATGAGAATTGGTCAAGAACGTGTCCAGCAAACCTACGTCATTTGTCAAGAACGAGTCAAGCAAAGATACTTTATTAGTCAAGAGCAAATCCAGCAAAGCTACGTAATAAGTCAAGAACGAATCCAGCAAAGATACATAATTTGTCAAGAACGAATCCAGCAAAGATACATAATTTGTCAAGAACGAGTCCAGCAAAGATACGTAATAAGTCAAGGACAAGTCCAGCAAAGCTACGTAATAAGTCAAGGACGAGTCCAGCAAAGATACGTAATAAGTCAAGGACAAGTCCAGCAAAGCTACGTAATAAGTCAAGGACAAGTCCAGCAAAGCTACGTAATAAGTCAAGGACAAATCCAGCAAAGATACGTAATAAGTCAAGGACGAGTCCAGCAAAGATACGTAATAAGTCAAGGACAAGTCCAGCAAAGCTACGTAATAAGTCAAGGACAAGTCCAGCAAAGATACGTCATAAGTCAAGGACGAGTCCAGCAAAGATACGTCATAAGTCAAGGACGAGTCCAACAAAGATACGTCATAAGTCAAGGACGAGTCCAGCAAACCTTCGTCATAAGTCAAGGACGAGTCCAGCAAAGCTACGTAATAAGTCAAGGACGAGTCCAGCAAAGCTACGTAATAAGTCAAGGACAAGTCCAGCAAAGATACGTAATAAGTCAAGGGGTTACGTTTGAAATCCCTAGATACTCAGGTCAGCAGTTAAGTGGCATCTGACAACTTAATATTGCATATCTGCCAACTCTCACACCCCTTAACAAGCTCTCACAACAAGCATAAGCAATTATACAATCCAGTTTCTCGTTCGCACAGCCTGAAAAATGATGCCACACACACACCAGCGCCTAGGATCCCATTTCCAGCATAGATTATATAAATAATAGGAACTAGTTGTCTACATAAAAGACTGTCCTGTCCACTTATCTGGACTTGCCTATTATACAAATAGTGAAAGAATAAGTGAGCTTGGTTTAACATTGCTTTGAACAGTATTCCAGTTATATCACAGCATGTTAGCTTGATGTGCGAGGAAAGCCCAAGGTAATGCAGGCCTCAGATGTGAGCAAGGCTGTGGTAACAAGCCTAGAAAGATGATCACGGCGAACCGGGATGTTGGAGGCAGGAAGCTCAGAATACCGACATGTGGTTATTGGTTGGTTGGCTGGTTGGTTTGTTGTTTAACGCCCCACTCAGCAATATTCCAGCTATATGACGGCGGTCTGTAAAATAATCGAGTCTCGACCAGACAATCCAGTGATTGACATCATGAGCATCCATCCACGCAATTGGGATCGATGACATGTATCAACCAAGTCAGCAAGCCTGACCACCCGATACTGTTAGTCGTATTGACAAGCATAGTCGCCTTTTACGGCAAGTATGTGGTTATTGAATCTAGTTTTTGTTAATATATTGACACTTGTCTAAATCCATTAATATCTATCACAGTTAATATCAGAAACCAGTATTACAGTAGTCATGGTATGTGCCAGGTCACATTTAGGGCTGGGACCGTACACCAACTGTCCGATGAGACACCGATCACGATACCTTTGCTCGCCATCCGATACAAATCATGATACTTGCATGTGCTTTTATCTGTGGTCCCCGAGACAGGATAGCCAAATACCTGGCACACTGACAATTAACACTTACAGTTGGCAGTGTCAAGTATGGCACAATGGATGAAAATATTTACATTTTCACAACTAATTATCACTACTAATTAGTGTTGTGTAACACTTGTTAAGGCAAACACTGAAGATTAGAATCAATATTTTTACTTTGTGTGCAACTATGATCGACACTTGTATCGAGAATCAAAAACATGGCGATCCACTGATGCATCGTCCCACCAAATTATGATCATCCATGATCATCCATGATCAGTCATTGAATGTCAGTTTATAACAAACACATTTCTCAAGGATGAGTCTTTTACCAAAGACAGCTTATATATACACAATATACAATACTGTATTATACATATACAATCATATAACCAAGTGTAAAGTGAAATAACGGAAAACAACTTCTTGTTTGAATCTCTCAGGAAAAACCTCCATAAACAGATGTCCTCTGGAGAGTGCACACAAACATCTCCTTCTCCCTGTCACAACCATCATCAGCAGGGTGACAAGTGAATAAACAGGAAGCCTTCAAATCTGAATCTTTAACGCTGCATCACTTTTCAGGAGGAGGTGATGTCTTACTTCCAACGCTACACTCCACCACACATACATGGTGTGTGCTTTGTGTTTGTTTGTTGTTCAACGCCGCACTTAGAAATATTACAGCTATATGACAGTGGTCTGTAAAAAAAAAATCGAGTCTGGACCAGACAATCCAGTGATTGAAATCATGAGCATCGATACACGCAATTGGGATGCGATGACATATATCAAAACCAAGTCAGCGAGTCCGACCACCCGATCCTGTTAGTCGCCTCCTACAACAAGCATGGTCACCTTTTACAGCAAGTATGGGTTGCTGAAGACCTATTCTACCCCGGATCTTCACGGGTCGTGCTTCGTGATCTCCACTCCAAGAACCTCCTCCACCTCAAACACTGGCAATGACAGTGTTAGGCACTATCACTAGTCTGTTAGTCCGATAGTAGTGACAATCTGGAAGGACATGCTTTCCCCCAAACACTAGTCAGGTAATGTGCACCACAAGGCCGAACTAAACTATGGACTACTTGGACTTCACGGGGTCCCTGAAAGAGAATGGGGTTTTCTAGTCGAACATCATCATTGACACACTTTATGACTTCAATACACCAACAACGGGTACAAGCCAACACGTTCAGTAATCACAAGGATAAGTATATTCTCTTTCACATCAAGAATGAAAGGATATTCCTCATCCAACCACTTCCAATTGAACATAACATTTTCTGTTATGCGATTTCATCTCAGTACCTAGGACTCTTTCTGGAGCTGACTCTTCAAAGTGTAAATTGCCTGTCACTTCTGACAAGACACAAGTTTAAATGTCATCAACAGGGCTTCCAGCACTGGGTTTAATCCTGAAGATGCGGGAGATACGACTGTCGTCAGCTGTCTATTCATCTTCCACCTCTTCAGCCTCATCTCATAACATCAGTCTTTAGCATCTCCGATTCCATCAGCATTGATTGCAAACATGGCTTCCGCTTCTGGCAGACATGGAGAGTCATAGATCTTACAGATCCGTGTCTCACCTCGGCCCTTTCTCAAGTAGAGTCTGAAAAATGCAGAAAGTAAGTGAGGTGGATTTGTTGTTTGTTGTTTAATGCCACTCAGAAATATTCCAGCCATGTGACAGCAGCTTGGAATAATCAAGTATTGACAAGACAATCCAGTGATTGATATAGTGAAAAATGATCCACGCCTCGGTGAACGATGACATGCCATCAAGTCACCAAGCTTGAACACCTAATTCATTTATTCGCTTCTTACGCATATAGGCTATACCCCACCACCACTCGCCACCTTACGACCACCATAGGAAGCTGGCAACCAATTCTAACCCAGAATCACCGCAGAGCCATCTTCCCCAGGCAAGGGAGTTGACTGACTATAAAAGTCCAGTTTCCCCCCTTGGCGAACTAGGCTGGAATTCCTGGGCTCTATCATAGCGCCATCAGTGGTTATTACGAGTCATGTTCCTTCTAAGCCTCCCTATTGACCAATCAGATTCCACCTCTCGTATCACTTGCATTTGTATCAAACAAAATTGCGGCACCCTGTCAAGACGATCTGATCGATAATCAAGTTCTATATTGTGATAAAACGTTCTTACATCAAACTGCGTGGGCACCTTCATTAAAAACATGAAAAGATTTGGAAGATTTCTGTCTGTTGACAACGAAGTGGCGGTGTACATGCTTTGCAAATCCTGCAATCGACTGAAATCTACATGACAGTTTACTAACAGGATTTCGATTTTGTTGCACGATTTTGATTGCACTATGCATAGACTCATTAGTCCAGCCAAAATGTAACTCCATAATACCAGCCTAGTTCGGCAAGGGTGGAAACTGGACTTTTATAGTCAGTTAACTCACTTGCCTCGGGAAGATGCCACAGGGCTAGTGAGTTGGGATTAACACTTTGGACAGTATTTCAGATTGTATCTCAACCATGACATAGGTCTGAGCAATTATCATGAGTAGAGTCTCTCGACTATTTATCATGCATATTTGTTAAAAATTTGTTTATCCAGATTTATTTCATTACTTGTCTGAAAACCCCCAAAGCATCAGTTGTTTCCACACAAATTCCAACTTTCTCACCTTGTTGTGGATGCGTGAGCAATGATATTTCCACCGATGGGTTTCTTGGGGTCAGCTGTGAACATGGATGCACCATCCACCTGAGCTACCACCTGGTTACTGATGAGTACAGCAACTCCAAACTAGGCAAAAAAACAAAGCCATTCTGTACTGATTGTAGATAGGTCTTTGAAAGGCATTTAGAAGTGATTCACATAAGGAAGAGAAGGAGTAAGCATATACTTTGAAACGTTGTGTTCCTCATAATAAAGAAGTTGACATCCATATATTCTCTTCCTTATGATTGTAGATAATCTTCAAAAAAGAGTAATTCAGGGATAGACACATCCATAAGTCTGTTCGTCTGAGAACTGTAACAATCTAGAAAAACTAGTTTTATCCAAATATCTAGTCTTAACATCAGTAGTGGGCCGAAATGAGCAGCAGACTAGTTTAATATGGCTATTGGGGTTGACTCCTGTAAATATTCCAACATCCAAACTGTAGACATTTAAGATGGGGCTTGACAATTGAAATTGTTTGGGTAGTGAGATGAATCTGGCAACTTACATCATAATTGAGTTTTTTACACATACACAAGTTAAGCAATTATTTGATATTGTCACTAGTCTGCAAAAATGATCTGCTACAGAGTAACTCATCAGTTTAATGTTTACGTGCTAGTCCACAAGGAAGTGTTACAAGTTCTTTCTGATTTTTACAAATGTGAAGCAATGAAGAATGTTCCTGTTATACAGGTAAATCTGCTCACATTTGTGAAAAGTAAGTGCCAGACAGGTCTGACCCCAATATTTTTGACAGGTTGGCTCCTTTGTATGCATGGCATGTGCGACATATCCTGACGACCTGACGACCACATGCGCACCTGACACCTGACCGTTACAGGTAAGAGCTCAAGATAAGCTGCATATTTGCGTAAAATACACATAAGATAAATAAAATACACAGACAAATCAAATCCTAGCGTATCAAATATGCAACAACAACTATAAATACGCTATTGAAATAAAATGAATGTGTATATTACAACTGTTAGATAAAATGATTATGCATCAGCCAATAGCCAAATTCACTTACCGACAGTTACACTTGGAACGTCTGCGACAAACATACTAATAGATGCCAATAAAACGCAAATTGTACCTAGTCAACGTACATGTTGTATCTTAATAAGTCGCTGATTGGTGATAAAAACAATTATACAAATTAACCAAAAAAGGCTTCCCGGAGACAGAGCCACAAGCAGACGCAGATGGGTATACTAATATTCAAATAGTTTTAAATGATTTACAGGGATTGTTACAAAACAGGTTTTAAGTTAAAAACCCAAATGTGAAGAAACAGATGGGTAAAAACAATTCTATACCCTCTAAAACTTGTGGATAACCAATCAAAATCAAACCCAAGGGTAAAATACCCAAATAACCAAAAGCTTATCTAGCTCTGCAGGTGACGATGCAACTCTCATCCCTGAAAACATTTGCACCGTGAAACACAAGTCCATCATCTTTCCTGCGTGTACAATAGCAGTATCAAAGTCATGTACAAAGGGAAATAACTCTCTTAACCTGCTAAAGGATTTTACATCAACATGAGTTCAATAATGCTTTATCTCTCTGAACATGTTTTTAGAGAATATCATTTAGCAGTTTTCATCAGGATAGATGCTCAGGATGTCCCCCTCAAATATAACACACTCCAGGCAGTTGGTTAACAGACATGTTCATCCATTAAAATCACTGTAACCTAGGAACAAGGCTATTTCGGCTGTCATCTAGAACCAATTTTGTTTGTTTTGTTGTTTAACACCGCACGCAGCAATATTCCAGCTATATGATGGCAGTCTGTAAATTATCGAGTCTGGACCAGACAATCCAGTAATTGATATCATGAGCATTGATCCACGCAACTGGGATACAATGACATGTATGAACCAAGTAAGCAAGCCTGGCCACCCGATGACGTCAGTCGCCTCTTACGACAAGCGACAAGCGTAGAACCAATTAAAAAATGTAGGCACATCACTGACCTCATCAGCTAGCCTTAGTAGCATCCGGAGAAACCTGGCCAAGTGCATCTGTCGGGCGGACAGCTCACCGCGACCGGAGTAGTCTGTCCTGTACAAAGCTGTGGCACTGTCCACAATCAGCAGGGCGTATCTGAAGATAGAAGAGGGTGTGAGTATGTACAAGCAGGGACAGATACACTTGAATCCAAGGTCAGGGACTTAATTAAATTAAAAATTTTGAAAAGTTTTTAAAAATTCCAATTTTTGGTCTAGTAAGATCCGCTTACACTAGGCAATATACAAATAAAAATTGAAAATAAGGGCTTTGTTTAGAATTCTAAAGGTTCTGGCATAAAGGTTCCGTTTTGGCCATAATATTATCGTTCAGGGTGCTTAGAAAATTGACAAAGGTGTAGACTTATTAAAACCATACCTTAAAAATATGGGCCTGGGTTTTGGATGAGTTCATTTTCTAAGACACTGGGTGAACTTTATGAAAATTGTGCTAAACATATTTTTCAAATTTGGTTGTGAGTGAGTGAGTGAGTGAGTGAGTGAGTGAGTGAGTGAGTGAGTGAGTGAGTGGGTGGGTGGGTGGGTGAGTGAGTGAGTGAGTGAGTGAGTGAGTGAGTGAGCGTGGGTGGGTGGGTGAGTGAGTGAGTGAGTGAGTGAGTGAGTGAGTGAGTGAGTGAGTGAGTGAGTGAGTGAGTGAGTGAGTGAGTGAACAGGGTTTAACGCTCTTTTAACAGTATTCCCGTTCTCAAGCTTGACCACAGTCGCCGCTGGGTGAATATATACTATTATCACTGACTTTTGATATCTCAACCGTATTTTGGTATTTGATACAGACCACTGCCATCATATTATTCATTGCCATTGAATATTGTCCAACCACTCTTTTAGGTACTGCCATTGTAATTATTGTGCAGTAATTTGTATTGATCTGTAAACCTAGTTTATTTTTGTAATACATTTGTTGTTTGAATTCTGCTTGTTGGTTGTTGGTTGTTGGTTGGTTTCGCACTAGACCCTTTTACACACAGATTTCTGGGCTAACATCTTGTCTCAATCTGGGAATTGAAACGTAACAATCTGACGTACCTGGACTCCGCCATCATGGCCGCTGCCTGTATGAGCAGCTGAGACTGGTGGTCACTGTTGTAGGCCCGGGCATACGCCACGTTGTCCAGAACATCACTGCCCGACAACCCATACCTGTGAACAATGCATGCACAATTCAAAACTTTTATAAATTGGGAAACCTATCTGAAACTCATGCCGTCAGTTAAACTAAAAACTGCTCTTTCTAGATTTCGATAAGGCTGCCATGATCTAGAAATCGATCGTGGGCGGCATGCAAATATTCCACGAAATCTACGTAAAAACAAGTTATGCAGCTAAAAACTGTGTTGAAACGGAATACCACTTTATATTTATCTGCCCCTTGTTTGATAACTTAAGACAAACTTCAGCGTTAGAAATTGGCACTGGTCCTATAGTCCTTGCCAATCTGCACATTAGTTAAGGTATCATAAGGACTAGTAGAAATTTGCCATGAAATTTACGTATAGTCCACAGACATTTGTGTACAGAATATAATAATACAGATAGGCTGTTAAACATTGGATAATACATTTCTTTCAACATGAGTATTTAAATGTATTTAGCTGAATTAACTACAGTGTTAGGATCGCTAGGAATGGTACTAAGGGGTAGTGATGTGGTTACAATAGTCCACATCGTCATGTCACACTAATGATCAGCCGATTCGAGTTTATTACAAGCAGGTGACTGAAACAAGGGGACATAACTCTGCATACCTTATTGTGACCAGTAAGCAGTCACACACATTGACTAATTGTTATCAAAGATCTGCAACAACAAAATTGTCAAATTGGCCAAAATTGACTTGCCTTCTTGACCTTGTATTGCTGTTTACTCATTTCCCTCAAACAGATTCTGTTTGAAGTCAATTGTTCCTCAATAAATGCATGTAATTCAAATAGGGTGTGAGCATGTCACATACCTCTCGGCTACTGCCAGCAGTCTCTCTGGGCGGAACGTCCCCTCAGTGTCGATGTACATAGCTTTGCCTTCCCCTCCTCCCATATCAATAGGCAACTGCAGAGGAGAAGTCAGCAACAATTACACCCTGTGACTAGCCACAAGTCCGAAGCCAGATGAACAAATTCCTTCTGGTTTACACAAGTTTGGGTTTGAGGTTCAAAAGTTTATAGCACAGATTCACTAGCATATCCATTGGTGCACCAAACTGAAATTGAATGACTTTTTTTAACTGTTTGTTTGTTTGTTGTTTATGAGCACTCAGCAATATTCCAGCTATACGGTCTGTAAAATAATCGAGTCTGGACCAGACAATCCAGTGATTGACATCATGACCATCGATCCACGCAATTGGGATAGTTAGATATTTCATGTGTTGAGTGAAATATCATGTTTCTTTCATCGAGTGACAGGGAGAAGGAGATATTTTCATGTGTATTTCAGAAAATACGCACATCAAAATAAACTCTGCACTGTACCTCTTCTATTAGCATGGAAACTTCTATGTCAAAAAACGAAAAAAACGCTGTACTTCATTTAGAAAGTCCGTATTTTTTTCAGAAAATTAACATATTGAAATCAGACTTCCCACTGCACATCTTCTATAGGTATAAAAAAAACGGACAGAATTCCTTGGTAAAACTTATTACCCCGACATTTAAGGTCGGGGGATAACTAACATACCTGACATGTGACGGCTAGTGTGTGGCACAGCTGCGTCTTGCCGGTTCGGAACTCACCAAATATCTCCGTGATAGAACCTGTCTCAATACCCCCTGCAATCAAACATTATACTCATCAATGGAAATATTTCACAAGAAGTCTAAAAGATGAATCATGTTTGTTTCTTGTTTAACGCCACACACAATATTCCAGCTATATTGGTCTGTAAATAATTCAGTCTGGACCAGACAATCCAGTGATTGACATCAAGAGCATCGATCCACGCTATTGGGATACGATGATATGCATGAACCAAGTCAGCGACGAGACAAAGTCGCTACAAATGGATATTTAACCTAGAAATAGACAAGGGTAAACCCTGATGGTAACAGACATGCTGACTTTGTTCGAAAAATGTACTTATATGAATATCGATGTTTTGTTCAACAACAAAGATTTATAAGTACTTTATTTGCCGATCCACAGACTGGCAGTCACATGAATTACCTGTCCAAGCCTAATTTTACCGGTAAAAAAACAGTAATTACCAGTAAACGGGAACACTGTGACAGAGATATGCTTTTCTGAAATCTTGAATTCCTAGTTCGACCAAACACTAATACAGGTATTGTCATGAAACCTTAGAAGAAGTCTTTAATAATGGTGTTAAAGACAGGACCCTTTCTTTTTGCCACCATGCACTCCACTGATGGGGGTTGTAATATCGGGGCTTTCAAAATGAGAGTCACCCAGAAGGCAAGGTTATTCATGCAATTTTGTAAAATAAATTGTTAAAATTGGTATTTAATAACTTGCCATGTTTATCACTGCATCTTTTAAGAAAAGACTATTATACTTTGTTTCTAAAACACCCTGATCTAAGAAACCTTGTAAAATCAAAGCTATTTTTTATATTTGTATACTTATCCTGCATTACTCCTTAATGCATCTACTGCCTGTTAACACACATTCTTGATAGCAATCTTCAGATGGTAAATGTTCGCAATACATATTGCATCGTGACTCAAGTATTGATACAAGATGTTGCCATTCCATGACTGATATAATACTGATAGTACTGCATAGTACAGGCCTCAAAGTTTAAATTTTTACCAAGTTTTTACAAGTATTTTTTTTCAGGTAGCCAGTGGTAAAATCAAGAAGTCAAGCCAATATTGTTGGTAGCCAAAAGCATTTGAAATTATCTTTTATCAAATAACTATAATATAATAATATAATAGTTATAGCACTAGTCTTGGAATTGTATATTAATGGAAACTGTACTTGATTTTGTTACTTGTGACTCGAACAATGATGCAATTTATTTTACTAGATTATATAGGTATATCCTTATACTAAAATAACGTACTTATTACATAAATATTTATGTATTTTGGTTCCTTGTCGACTTTAGGAGGAATTATTTGTGAGTACAATTATCAGAAGACATGTTTTCAAAGATCGGCTGTTCAAGGTAGTCACTTGGCTACCCCTTGAATTTTAGACAGTAGACATACTGAAATTTAGGTGGCATTGGCGACAGTTTTAGTTGCAACTTTGAGGCCTGTAGTAGTAAAACTCTTTCAATAGCCTCACCTTGGAGTAGCTTGTCAAGTTCCTTGGATCCTGTTGTCACCTGAATGATTTCAGATCTCTTCTGGTGGAACTCAGTGGCCGTGGTGAAACCCATAGGAACCAACTTGGCAGACTCAGTCTGCAATTCAAACAACACGCTTCTGAATGAAACCAAACATCTTTTATCTGCTCTATGTTACACTAATTCACGGACGGTGACTGCTCCCCTGTCAATTACCAGTAGGGGTGCGCGGTAGGGCTGGGACGAGTCCAAATTTACTACCCGGGTACCTGACCCCCTATTACCCGACCCTACCCAGATACCCACTGCAGGTCTTAAGAGTTGGGAACAAAATGTCTGATTGGTAATTGTTTGACTGCAGCCCTGGCTAAAACTATTTAGATACATGTATCAAACAATTAGATCATGCGTTCATTGAAGTTGACTGATGCTTTATCTTTACTCAAACATATACAAGTCAAAAGGAATATTTGCATCGTCAGAAAGAAACTTTGCGACTTGTAGTGTAACCACTAATCCATAGTGAGTTTTTGTCATTAAAGGGCAAGTTCACACGGAAATTAAAAGTGTTAACCTAGAAGTGTCATAGACAAAAATATAAAAATATCACAATTAATTAACATATTTTTCGCATTAAAACGATTTATATTTTTCAAATTTACAAAGTGTTCTATTTCCACAACAAAAACACCATGGCTTATGCCCCTTGCAATATGACGTCATTGGTGCCAATTGATAAACATTATGACGTCATCATGCTTTGTTAGAGCCGCTTCACGTGGTGTAGGTCTAGGTGTGTGATTCTAGCGTCTCAGATGCCAGCCAGCATAGTGTTATGCTGAGTCACCACTGCGCCTGAGTGTGTCGTAGGCCATGTTGTTTTACCGCAAACTGGTACTTGATATCTTTTGCGTTAAGAATAGACAGGGACCCAGTTGAATTGGCACCAATTACGTCATAATCTAAGGGGGATAACTCAGGCCTGTTTAGCTCGAAAAACGAAGGCCTCATAACGGCATAACATTTTCACACTATTGTGAGCTTCCTACTTTCACTGTGAAAAAAATGAGTGTATATTTTGAAACACAGATACTAATTAATTCTAAAATTGCGTTTTGTTTAGAAAAAGAAAGAAAGTGATTTTTGCGTGTACACTTCCCCTTTAAACCATATATCATGTGACTAACCACTGGTCGGGGTAGTCCTGTGGGTAACTAGGTCCTACTCAGGACCCACCCGACCCAAGTACCCGAGTTACCCATCCCAGCTCTAGTGAGTGGTATTACTGGTACACCACAATATGAAATACTAATGAATACGTACAAAAATGTTTGGAAAACACCGTTTTTTCAAAATCATGCATCTTTACAATTGTTTGAAAACTTTACCATGTTTACGTAAGTGACAAGTTTAATTAAAATTATGAAATTAAGAAATTATGAAATTAGCTCTGAGGAACTGTTACCCGTGATCGAAGAAAAAGCAAAACTATTTGCCACCAGTTTCTTGTATATAATCATGATAGTGTCTCTATTACGCATAAGTTGTAGCCATAGCAACATCCAACAAAATATGAAGTTGTGAAACATGTGCAGGGGTAGTTTTTGCATTCATGTTCCTAACAAATTACAGATGAAAGAACAGATGAAAGAACACATGCAGTACATTGTGGTACGTATCGTAATACATGAATCATTATTGCAACAAATTGAAATACAGAATTCAGGCCAATACATCACTTATAACCAGTAAACAGAAGCACTGCTGCTCCACTGACTGTCTTGTGCACTGGTGAGACATATTAATGAATATTGTTTGAGAAACTTAGACATTGTCTCTGTATAATAAGCGTTATCATTTATGGCTAAATTTTTATTAATGTGAACCAGCAGACCAAGCAAATGTTATTCGAGGGATATGAATCAAATCTGCTGACTGGCAACTGGCCGAGTGTGGTCCTCCTTTACCAGGGAACATATTTAGCCTTTGCTCAGTTCATCTTCCCGAGGCCAGGGAGCTAAATGACTAAAAGACCAGTTTCCACCCCAATCTCATAAAAATCAGATCTTAGTTCTCGCTATGGCTAAACATAGATCTCAGGACATCCCATTACGGGTCAAGTCAGAATGACCTTTCATCCGACCAATCAAAGCGCCGCTTACCAGATCATGAAAGTGACAGTCGGAATGTATTTTCTCATCATGCAACCTCGAAAACGTTAACACGGGGAATTCCAAACGACAGTTACATCCCTTACGACTGATTCCTTCAAAATCATCGTCTATCTCTCGCTTCTGTGGGATAAACATTTGAACGGACGAGGCGTTGCACAGTACGTGGGAAGCACTGCCATACAATCTCAACCATATATTAGACATTCCGGAATGTTTGTTTGTTCAGTTTTCAAAATTTTAATCGAGATCTGTGTCAACATATTTTTCAAGCGTTGTCTGAAATGTAAGTCGCCTGGTTGAAAGAAGACGTGAAGTGCCGTAAAGCTTGAGAAAGCTGCTTTCTAATTGGCTGACGTCAACTTCTTGTTAGTAATTTCAGTGGTCGGTCAAAGTTTTCGAAAGGTCGTTCTGACGTGATCTGTAATGGGATGTACTCAGATCTTTCTTTAGCGGCAGCAAGAACTTAGATCTGATTTTAATGAGATTGGTTTCCACCCTTGCCCCAATTGGTTGCAATTTTGTGGTTCGATTGTAGCGCCACCAGTGGCAATTATGGGTTATGCCTTCCTGTTGACCAATCAGATTCCAGCTCTTTATTTCACTTGCATTTTATTCAAACAAAATGTCGACACCCAGTCACGACAATCAGATCGATAATCAAGATTTTTCCCCAATAAAATGGGTCATATATTTGCAAATCCAGCAGTTGACCGAAATCTGCACAGTGAAATCCATGTGGATTTCATTATGTGATTTTGATTTGACTATGCATAGCTTGTTGGTCCAGCCAATATAACTCCATTATTGCAACCTAATTCGGCAAGGTTGGCAACTAGGCTTTTACACTCAGTTAACTCCCTTGCGCAGGAAGATGTCCAAGGAACTTTTATTTGTGGGACAAGAATAAAATCTGCTGGGACTGGCAATTAGCCGAGTGTAGTTCCCCTTTAATCACAGCGTTAGAACTAAACTGAAAAGCTTTACTATCCCGGGTAAAGATAAAATGCCCTCGTAATGGTAAAACAATGGGGAAATTGGGAAATTTGTACTAGCCTGGATTTACCAAAAGCCCCGGGCTAGCGGGCTAGTGTTAATTTCTAACCCGGAATCATAGGTAACAATTTAAGCCTTTGCCCAGTTAGACAAATCAGACTCCTACCAGGATTTTCTCTGCCTTGGCTTCACTGATGCCCTTGATCCCCAGCAGCTGTTTCTTGGGAGCAAATGCCACAGCCTCCACTGTGAAGAACCCAGCTTCCTCCAGCTTCTTCAGGTCATTGTTGCTGATTCCATTGCCCTGAAGCAGCACATGGGAGATGATTATCACGATGTTCCTTTGTGGCTTAACACCGCACTCAGCAATATTCCAGCTATACGACAGTGGTCTGTAAATAAGCGTGTCTGGACCAGACAATCCAGTGATTGATAACATGAGCATCGATCCACGCAACTGGGAAATGATGACATGCATCAACCAAGTCAGCAAGCCTGACCAACCTATCCCGTTAGATGCCTCTTACGACCAGCATGGATTGCTGAAGACCTATTCTACCCTGGATCTTGCTGAATGGGCCTGATTTCAGAATATATGCTACCACAGAGTTCAGCAAGTATTAAGGATCCACAAATAATATTATTCACAGTGAACAAATCTGTCAAGTTATATTCATTGTAATGCAGTTACCATATTCTGCTCCAATAATCACCCCTGTCAAACCTTTATCCCTATCTGTAAGGAATCTTTAGAAGTGCCCCCAACAAAGACCCAAAATTCCATATCTTTTCTTGTGTATATTACGAAAACGTTTGACAGAAGCCAGTAGCACAGGAGAGTGAGTGAGTGAGTGAATATGGTTTTACGCCGTTTTTAGCAATATTCCAGCAATATCACGGCGGGGGACACCAGAAATGGGCTTCACACATTGTACCCATGTCGGGAATGGAACCCGGGTCTTCGGCGTGACGGTAGCACAGGAGAATATTGCCTGGTAACTATTACCAAAAAAGTTTATTTACATCAACGTTTTCAAGAACTAAGTTTGTTCACCACTGCTTCATCTCGGACAACAGTCTTAATTCCTTGTGCATGACTTTAATAGAGCTTCCCACCTTTGTCAATTTTCTAAGTGCTCGGGGCGCTTGTTACGCCATGTAAACCGAGAAGATCTGGGGTAGAATAGGTCTTCAGCAACCCATGCTTGCCGTAAAAGGCAACTTTGCTTGTTGTAAGAGGCGACTAACAGGATCAGATGGTCAGCCTCGTTGACTTGGTTGATGCATGTCATCGACTGCTGTCATATAGCTTGAATATTGCCGAGTAGGGCGTTAAACAACAAACAAATGTTACACCATGATTACAATATAATCATCATGCTCATTAACTCAAAACCACCTTGCTTATTTTCTTGCTACAATGTTAACCCCACATTGAGATAATTAGGAACGTTGGGGACAATTTGGGATTTTTTTTAATAATTTAGATAAATAGAGGTTATCACGCAAGTGTGTTTGGGGATGGTAAATATCCTGCATTAGGAATAAACATTGTATTTAGCATTTGTCATTCTTTAATTCTGTGCTTTAAAATCGCTTCCCCTCTCTCACAAACATTACCGAAACATTGCGAGTTTTCCTGGAATGCGTGCATTAATATTTATTACGTCACAGGGTAAGTGATGTGTCAGTCGGACAGTGACAGTAGCCAATATAGTTCCAACTGAAATCTGTTTCTTATGCAGTAGCTTTTCATGTCAACATGCACCTGTGCAAGTTAAATAAAATTCCTTAAATCAAGCCCTGAATGGTTGTGTATCTAACACTGCCTGTAGCAACGTCAATAACTAGACTAAATTCCTGGTGATGTCTTTTTTGGTCAAAATTTTTAATATATTTCACTGATTCAGTTTGATTAAATATTAGGCCTGAATATGGTTGAAAATAACTTGTTTGGTTGTCATCTCTGAAACTGTCCAACCTCTAGTTTGGCAATTGGCATGGGTCCAAATGTTTCTTCCTCTGCTTCTGCTTCCACCTCCGCACCCCGAGATGCTTGCATCGCCATGTTGTTGTTGCACAATAGTCTCTTGCCTGGAGCAAATAAATAATAGGATACTGACAATCAAACATCTTCACGAAAAAAATATTTTGTCATTTTGTCTAGGTCTCAAAAGATTGGACAAGGATACAAAACATTTCGTATTTTCATGTTTAGAAATAAGATCTGCTACAGAGTTGTCACTACCTGATGGTAAAAGTGGTTATCTCCAGTCCTCGCTGTATTCTGCGATCACAGATTATTTAATTTTGCAGAAATGCCCGCTCAGTGCAGAAGTGTTCCTATCATGAGGAAATCACTTTTGGTGCAGAACACAACCAGAATTTTGCATTTATCTGCTGCAGAATTTGTCAAATATATTGTAGAATTTTAACATGCGAGTCAAAAGCTGGTCTAACATGTACAAGTTACATTGGTTAACTTAAATGAAAGAAATCATTTGAATTTTACATGGTATTAATTAAAACATTCCAAATAATTATTTGTGATGTAGATCTAAGTACTATTATTCAATGAAAAAAAATAATTTGCAAACAATCTTTCCAGCATTTTACTTTTAGAGAAATGGTTAAATGAATCCATATCGTTTTCAAGTAAAGTTGACTGTAATATTATTGCTTAGTTACCACACAAGTAAGTGTATGTTTATGTTTACACCAGTGATCGCCAGATTCAGGCAATGGATAAATATTTCGGAAAAATATCTGCCACAAATCAGACAGGCGTAAAACTGTGAAATTCACGAAAACTTTAAACTTAAAAGTTTGTATAATCATGATAACTGTGAGCAGAATTATTAAAATTTAGTTTCCGAATTTACAAAAATTGATCGCCGAGTTCTTATTTTGGGGGGCCGCGGAATACAGCGGGGACTGAGTTTATATAATAATACTCGTCCTTGAATATTACAACTCTCGGACTAACAGACTTGTCAACTTATGTTACTTTCAAACATATATTATGGTCTATATGAGAGATGGGGAGGATGTTAGGGAAGGGGTCGCCATATTTCCAAAATGTCACTTAGCTTATAGGGGGTGGGTCATCAATTTTAAGACAAATATTGAGGTGGGTCCTGAGAAAAATGTACAAGAACGTGGGGAAGGTCAACCAATAAAATAGCAAGGTAAGTGTTGAGGCTTCCGCACATTTAAATAATGATCCACATGTCAAGCAGGCAGCACGAAAGGCCTTCTTGGCTCACTGTCACCGATTTAGCCTATTTACTTACCAGTGCAATGTATCACCCAAACAAGCTTCTTCGCGATGTTTGAAGGAGAATGTGTTAATATTCCGTTGAATGTAACCAGAAAATAATGTTTTATTGACGTGTCGCTTGCTTCCAAAAATGCGATGTTATTAAACTTGGATGTCCCGCCAAATCACGCGATGTATTTGTAAGGGAGATAACTCTAATGTTTAGCCCAATCATACACATTCGCTAGAAAATAATCGTGAAATCACTGTAATCTGTTGTGGTTTACATTTTATTAATAACAAAACTTATCTCGCCGAGGAGAAAAGTTTTGTTTTTATTAAAAAAAAGGCAAACACGGAATTGCTTTTCTTGTCAAATGATATCTCACCAAGTGCCCCGACAAGCTTTACTTTTTAATGGGTCGACATTACATGATACAGTCTTAAGACCAGTACGACCTCCACCCTCCCATGTTCTTTTGAACTTAAACCATTTATTATATTCTAAGAATGACAGATTAGTTACCGTTTGCTTTGTTCCTTCTATTTTTTTTTAAAAAAAGATTACACGATGTTTGCGTTTTGTAATCCTAAGCAGAGGTTCCCAATACATCTTGTTATGCCATCAAAGTTTTTTGCAGGGTATGTAAAAATAGTACCCGTTCATGATCCGAAAAATACAAACCAATTTCTTCTTAAGAAGGGACGAAGCGATCAAACAGCAAATAATCCATTTATTGTGAACTTACCTGCATATTTGTTCCCCAGTTTAACACATTATCTGAAAATGGTAATTAAAGAAAATAGGGTTCAATGTCGCGTTCAAGATTCTTTTACTTTTATAGCGGCGGACATATGTCGGTTCCAGTGTTTGGGTCTTTCCGTTTGAATTCTCGAGAGTGCGATATTATGCTTTTTATCGTATAATGCATAGCGGTATCGATGCGATAACCTTGGTATCACGAACCCATTGCAGGGCCCACTTGCACAAAGCGATCTTAGCGCTGCGACTATTGTAAGCCTATGTTAAAGTATGGGAGTTAAGATCATCTTAGCGCTAAGATCGCTTTGTGCAAGTGGGCCCTGGAGCTACTATCAAGCTCCTAACACTGATTCAATGCCTTCTTTCTCAATTATGTAACTATTGACTAAGGTTCTCAATATGCTGAGGAAGGGGTTCCCGAAGAATCATATCGTGTTTCCGTTGACAAGCAGAGCTGAAGTACATTAAATAATGAGTAGTGGTGAGGTGAGGTGAAATTGGGTTTAACGTCGCGTCCAAGATTATTGCACTTATATATAGCGAGGTGCATGTACGTGTGTGTGGCTGCTTGTACTAGTCCGGACTGATGCCGATTTATAGTGCTAGCTCACTGAGATACCATGCCGCAGTTTAACATGAATATCCCACTCAGACACAGAATACTGACTCCGAGCCTACCAGTCCTTGTTTTAGCCCCTTAATGCCGAGCGACAGACAGGGTAACAACAAGTACCATCTTTTAACGTCTTTTGGTATCACGCGGCCGGGGATCGAACCCCGGACCTTCCGCTCTATGGGCGGACGCTCTACCACTAGACCACGGAGGCGGTCAACAACATGATAACTTTGGCTGGTCACTCAGTCACTGTCTTCTCTGTACGCAGCAACTTAAGTACACTGAGTCAGGCTCGCTGACTTTGTTGATGCATGTCATCGTATCCCAATTACGTGGATCGATGCTCATGATGTCAATCATTGGATTATCTGGTCCAGACTCGATTATGTACAGACCGCATGTCATATAGCTGGAATATTGCTGAGAGCGACGTTAAACAACAAACAAAACATCCAAACAAACAAAACTTCATTGAGTGAAATTACGTCTTACTCATTATTTTAAGAATGGAATTATATGATAAAGACATTATTACCCTCTTTTGTTTCCTTATCGCAAATTTGTTTATTCTATATTGGGACTAACAAATGTGTATTATGCTCGTATAATACAATTTCTGTTCCTAATATATGCTATTTAAAAAATGTGTAATATGCGAACCAAAGGCTCGCAGTGTACCATTTATATTTCTAATATAAGATATTTATGATAAGGAAGCGTACACGGCTAAAATAGTCGAATTGTGCCTTGTGGGTTGAATACACGTTCACTCAACCTTTTTAACACAATATACACTATATCGATAGAACTTGTTCTTACAAACAAGGAGTGTTGAATGATTGGTGGAGTGAGTGAGGTTTTACGCCGCTTTTAGCAATAGTCCAAGAAATATCACGACGAAGGACACCGGATATGGGCATCACACATTGTACCGATGTGTGGAATCTAACCCGAGTCTTCGGCGTGACAAACGTAGGCTTTAACCTCTAGGCTACCCCCCTCCACCCGCGTACCGCGTACCGCGTACCAACAGCGAGCATGTGCTCGAACGTCTTAGCGAAACTACCCGGGTCACCTTTCCAGTAGTGTAAAAACTATCTGATCGTGGCCAATAGGCAGTTTAATTACATTTTGCGAACAGACATCCTCATTGTGTGGCAGTTACAGAGTTTGAATATTTCTTGTATTTTACCTTTTAAGTATAATTCATGTACATAATTACAGTAAATGCAGTTTTAGTCATCTTACTTTACTGGTCAGCCAACCTTAAACATTGCAGTGTCAGTCAAAGTCTTTTTTCCTAAGCATGCTTACTGCATGGTTAGTTCGTGAAAGTCACACCCTGTGCACAAACACAACAGCCTGAGCCCTTTCCCTGCTCAAGCCCTTTTGTCTACATGGCCAGCTTGGGTTCTCAGCCATGCTGCACACAAGACACCTGAGGACTGTAGTCACTCCACATATACCTTTCAAAGGATAATCATATCTATACTGAACCGCAAAAGAAACGTCACCCCAAGTAACATTGCATGAAAGTTGTCATTTAAATATCTAGGTAATTTTTGTCTAATTTCCTAAAATTTAACATTACCTTGTCCGGGAAAATGAAATATGATGATAAAAAAAACAAAGCAGATGACAAAAAAAACCACCGATCGCTCAAACGCATCACGGCAACGGCCATGGCAACACGATGCACGTGAGTACCGTGCAAATTGAAATGCACATGCGTTCCCCCATTTCTTGCCCTATAAAAATCCACCCAGATCGGATAACATTCATTTGTTATTGAATTGCTACCACATGCCAAGATTGAGAAGAAATCAGCGACACCAAGCTCTTGAACGATTGCAAGCTGGACAAACCGCCCGGCAAGTAGCCATTGCATTTCAAGTCCACGTAAAGACCATATGCAGGCTCCAGCAACGGTACCAGACCACCAACACTACAGATGACCGACCACGTAGTGGAAGACCAAGGGTCACCACCCGACGTCAGGATCGTCAGATTGTGCGACAGCATCTTCAAGATCGCTTTGTTACTGCTGCGGGAACTGCTGGACAGACCATGGAGACACACCAGCGACACATTAGTGCGGAAACTGTGCGTCGACGATTGACGAGCCGACACCTCCACTGTCACAGGCCACGCCGAGGATCCATTCTGACACCACGTCATCGCCGGGACCGTCTTCAGGGGGCAACACAGCACCAACATTGGCGCCACCACCAGTGAAGAAGAGTCCTCTTCTCAGACGAGAGCCGTTGCTGTATCTCAACAGCAGATGGTAGAGAGAGAGAGAGAGAGTCTGGCGACGCCGTGTGGAACGTTATTCGGATGCTTTTGTTGCTGAGAGAGACTCGTGGGGGGTCCGAGCATCATGGTGTGGGGTGGAATTGGTCTTGCCTAGAGGGTCGGCCCTGTGGTCTTTCAAAACATCGGTCCAGGGAGAGGCAATGGTATGACAGCAGCTCGGTACATTGATCAGGTCTGAGACCACACGCCCTACCTCATTTGGCACGTCACCGCAACCACGAGTTTCAGCATGATAACGCCCGTGCCCACACTGCGAGAGCAACAAGAGACTTCCCCCAGCAGAATGGCATCAGAACCTTGCAGTGGCCTGCCCTCAGTCCCGATTTAAATCCCATTGAGCATCTGTGGGACGTGATTCAAAGACGGCTGAATGACGTCCGACCAAGGCCGACAACTGCAGCTGGTACGCAGCAACTTAAGTACACAAAGGCTCGCTGACTTGGTTGATGCTTGTCATCGTATCCCAATTGCGTAGATCGATGCTCATGATGTCAATCACTGGATTGTTTGGTCAAGACTCGATTATTTACAGACCGCCTTCATTTAGTTGAAAATATTGCTGAGTGCGGCGTTAAACAACACACAAACAAACAAATAGAAGATCTCGGATGTAGGTTCCAATCACGGGCTTGTAATCAGTGTATGGCATGAGAAGACGTGTTACAGATTTGTTGCGAGCTGCCTTAGCAGCAGCAGCCACTGTTATACCAATAATGCCAACATGGCTGGGTAACCAACAAAAAGGGATGTCGTGCTGGCTAGTAGCAAGATTATTATATAACTTAATAATTTCGATTAAAAGTGGATGTTTGCAAGATTGACTGAAGACAGGAAAGAGAGTCTGAAAATATAATAAATTGTTTTTGCTTTGATTGTTTACTAATGTATTCTGGCGTTGTTAATATGGCCTTTGATTCCGCCGTAAAAATGGAACAGTTATCTGGAATTCGTGATGATATAATCCTGCATCCAATGACAGTGGCGCTAGCAACTGCGTCACCATCCTTGGATCCATCTGTAAATCTAGATTTGTATGTATTGTAAATGCTCCTTAGTTGATTATGTTCTTGTTGATGAATTAGTTGATTTGTTTCAGATTTTCAGATGCTTTGCAGACCATTGTGACGTCATTGTAACCATGACGTCACAACCAAATGTCATCACTAATGGCTCTACTACTGAAGCTGTTAGCAGTACTTATTACTGTTTTTAAACTGGAAAAGTTGGAAGAATGATGTTCGATGATAAAAAAAAATCTCACCCTTGTGTCTTTTGATATAAAATATATCAACACTCGTTGATATATTTGATATCAAAAGACATTCGGGTGAGATTCTCTATTTCTGCATATATGTGGCTGTCTATGGCTACAGTCTTCTAAAAAATTGTATATTTATAATACTTATTGTATATCACACTGTGCATTTCCCATTCTTCCTCCGAGCCTAAGTGGAAACGTCCCTAAACAGAGGTTTCCAGGTTCTAAAAAAACAATTCGCCCAAACACACCCAGCATCGCCATGGTCCCTTGGAAGGTAGAGCAAGAGGTGAGGTGAAATTGGGTTTAACGTCGCGTCCAAGATTATTGCACTTATAAAGCGACGTGCATGTACGTGTGTGTGTTTGTGTGGCTGCTTGTACTCGTCCGGACTGATGCCGATTTATAGTGCTAGCTCACTGAGATACCATGCCGCAGTTTAACATGAATACAGACACAGTATACTGACTCCGAGCCAACCAGTCCTTGTTTTAGCCCCTTAATGCCGAGCGCCAGACAGGGTAACAACAAGTACCATCTTTTAACGTCTTTTGGTATGACGCGGCCGGGGATCGAACCCCGGACCTTCCGCTCTCCGGGCGGACGCTCTACCACTAGACACGGAGTCGATCATGTAGAGCAAGAGCAGCGTTTGCTATGGAATACTGTAAGGGACATTCTTGCGATCTCGACCATTGGAAACGAGCTATATGCCCAAAACACGAGAATGAGAAATCGCGAGAATGTCCCTGACAGTATTCCATAGTTTGCCGCGCTAAATGCTGTATGGGGAAATATGTCGAATAGAGCTAGACTGGTACCCTACCCGTCTCCCCCAGGTATAAAAATTTACAGTTTGCAATTTTTTTAAAAATATTTTCATAATTATTTATGAATTTCGTATGTACGCACGTCATCATGCACATGCGAGACAAAGAAAGTTTATTTTAAAAGTTTGGCTACATCTTAACAACGGTTACTCAGCGCAAAGGCCCATGCCCTCATGTTATTATCTCAATGCTGCAACAAATAAGGCACGGCGCCAGGCGCCGTCAAGTGAAAATGAACATTTCAAAAGAGTGAGTGAGTGAGTTAAGTTTTAAGTCACATCGGCAATATTTCAACGATATCGTGACTATCAAGATTAAAGATTATAAATACTTTGAAATGTATAAAAACCTGTCAACGACGGGCAGTAAAATAACTAGACATATCACAGAGAAATATTTAAAACTAGTATTGAATCATAAAATGGATATTACGATACATAACAATACATTATAAAAACAGGCTATGATCTCCAACAACTGAAGGTAGATCAACATACTAAGGATCATGGGGACTAACAGTACGTTTGCTACCTGCATGGACCCCAGCTGGATTTACATCATCCCTTCAGGTGTTGGCGGTTATGAACACATTTAGCCATATTAAAACAACATATATTCTACGGTTAAATGATGATACGAATAAATCTACTTTGAATGACGTGGTCTTACATACCCTCTCCAGGGGACAATAATTTTACATTACTTCAACCCCCTTCGAGGATACAGCCACTAACAATCTCAGTTATCACATTTATTTTGCCAATAATAAAAACACTATATCATATACACAACATATTAATCAAATTGGAACAATTCAAATTTTTTTAAAAAAACGATAACTAAATTTGAACTGATAATAGAAAGGTCCTTCATAGATGTAACTTGAAATATTTATCCCTTGTGATGGAAAAATCAACACAGTCAAGCAGGACATGCTTGACCGTGATTACACTTTTCAAAAGATGGCCATGGACCTTTAAGTTAGTAAATCAAGTGCACCAGTTTAGACTCTGTGCAGGTCAATTACTGGCCTTGTCGAGTTACATAACGGAGGCACACTGGAGTTGGAACAGGAATTTCGGTAAGGTTAAGAAAGTTGATTGTGTTGATGTCTTTGTGATGAGGGATGTAGAATGCAGGAATTTAAGGTTTCCCTCCTCTGCATCTGCACACCCACATTGCAACGTTCACGGTTCAGTGGCAGCCTTGCTCCAAATAATGTTTTCTCTTTATAAGTCGGCCATACATGTTATAAACAATCTGTTACTTTTTTGTTATGAGGATCAACATATGTGTTAACTGATTTGGATTTACTTGAATTATGACATGCGTTATTATCTTAAGGTTAATAATATGTGCACCTTTGTAGCTGAAACTGTTTTATGAGCATGACTTATATTAACCGCTTATTTCTGAGGTCATAGAGGCGGTGGGGTATTCTAGTGGTTAAATCGTTCGCTCGTCACGTTCGATTCCGACATGGGCACAATGTGTGAAGTCTTTTTCTGGTGTCCCCCGCAAAAAGCGGCGTAACACCATACTCACTCACTCTAAGCTCATAGCAATCTAATCTGAAAATTGAAAAGCAAACAAAGTGGGTGATATCTCATACACTTAAATATATTAAAATCACAAAATGAAGGACAAGGTAAGATAAGGGCCCGTTTCTTAATTGAGTAAAGCTCTAGAAATGGTTTTGGAAAGTTATCAGATGTGTTAATAAGAAAGAGAACTGAATTTTGTTCATTTCAATACTTGCATGTTTGGGACTTATAACAAACCTAAATGCGTAGGTAAGGATACAATGTGTCAAAAAGACTGATTTTAGAGGTGTCATGAAGCGTTATTCTGATAATATGAACATCAGTAGGTCGTTGATCCTTACGAACATAATTATATTTTTAAAAATCCTCTTGGGTAACAGACTAGTTGATACTTAGATTTATTATTTTCTTTCTACAAATCTGCCCTTTTTCACACATTTGTGTATTTGACCATATCAAAAAACCAAAACTGAGAAAGAAAAAGGACGTTCGACATCTATTTCAAGATGTCTGATAATTTTCATTCCAATATTTTCTGCAACTTTACACTTTAGACATTTCCAACCTGATCCCAAAAGCATCCTCACATATATGTGCGTTGAACCTGGTCGTGTTGCCCTATCCTGGTTCATTTGTTTTTTGTTTGTTTGTTTGTTTAACGCCGAACACAGCAATGTTCCAGCTATATGACGGCGATCTGTAAATAATCGTGTCTGGAGCAGGCAGTCCATTACTTGACATCATGAACATCGAAGACCTTGTTTATTTGACACTGTGGAGTATACTTGTAGTTCTTTCCTTCACCTAGAGGTACAATGACTCGGTAACATGCCTGCTGCTGTTATGTAGCTGGAATATCACTGCAGTGTCAAACAATATCCACTCATTCACTCTCTGATACGCAAAATAGCCCTGAAGGATGTGGATTGTGCAGAAAAAATGACGCTAAGCCAATGACGGAACAAAACCTGAGTGGAGTGATTTTTTTTCAGAGCAATAATTGTATAGCACTTTTTGGGATGAATGATATGTTTCAAGAGTATATCTCTGTCTTAATCTTGGTTCACATCGTTAATAGATGCTTATGTCTTCAAGCACAGGTTTGCTAGGCTACCATGATACAGAGGGGATATTTCTCACTGCATGGTAAAAGAATATTCACTCTTTCACATCTTGATATGGTATGGGAAAAAACTTCTGAAGATATGGGTTATATGATATGACTCAGAACCAATTTCACAATATTTATAGTGAGTGACTCTTTCATAGTAATATTACAATCCCCTGTGGATGAAATGATAGTGCCTGGGAGGGATCAGATAGCTTCTCATTAATGATAACAAACTTCTTTACATCACGACAGGAATAACATTCCCAACGGCAAGCATCATGTCTGTGGATGAAGATCAACCGACAATTCCAGCTAGAGTGAAACAATGGGCAGAAACCCGCCCAGACAAGGAAGTGTTTGTCTTCTATAGTGATGAAGGAAGGCGAGCTCTCACCTGTAAAGATGTACACAACCTCTCCACAAAATTTGCTGCACTTCTTCAGCGTCGGGGGTTGAAACATGGAGATGTGGTCTGCAATACTCTCACCAACTCTCCCTAACGTCTTATCACCGATTTTGGCATCATGGCAGCTGGGTGTGTTGCTGCCAATGCCCAGGCACTGCTGGCGGACGGTACTGATCTGTTGCATGTGATCAACTTGAGTCGCTGTCGTCTACTGATTGGGGACAAAACACTACCTGGGGGTGCCTGGCATCTTCTCAAACCACATCTGGGAGAAATCATGGATCTGAAAGTGAAATCAAGCAATGCTCCTAAACTGGAAATGGTGGAGTTTGTTGGTGTTAAAGAAGGTGGCGATTACCTGGAGATGTTGCATCAGGAAGGAGATCCTGTTCCAGTTGAGATACTACCAACAGACACAGCTCTGTATTGGACAACCTCTGGCAGCACTGGCTTTTCAAAACTTGTGCCAAAGACGCATGCAGTTATGCTTTTCCTTGCTAGCAGTTTTACGAAGATGTTTCGAATCCACAATGAAGTTGATGTACTGTACAGTGATCGGCCTTTGGGTTGGGCAGGTGGGTGGCCCTATGGATTTATTGAAATGGCAGTCCCTTATGTAACGACAGACACGAGAGGTTCTGTTCTAGATCAATGTAAGCTGTCTTGGGATGTGCTTAGCGAGGAAAGGTGTACTATCGCTGTGCTTTCAATATCCTTCATGAAGAAACTGGCAGAAAGAAGAAGTCTGGAAAACTCGGGTGATGTGATTCAAAGATTGATGTGTATTGTTACAGGGCAACCTTTTGCCAAACACTGCTTTGAGTTTGTTAGTAAGATTTGTCACTCCGTGGCATCTGCATATGGAATCTCAGAAGTTGGGTATGTATCAAGTTGTATTTGTGAGAAGGCGGAAGACTTTGAAGACAACCTGGTTGGATGTAGCTCTCACTTAGAGGTTAAGGTAGTAGATGAACAGTTTACAGATCTTGGAGCAGGCAAGGACGGACAAGTCCTGCTTCATGGACAGTGTGTGTTCAAGGGATACATTGATAATCCTGAAGCTACAAAAGCAGCTTTTACAGATGACGGCTGGTTTAAATTAGATGAGGTGGGCCATTTTGATGAGAAGGGGCGTCTTTTTGTCGAAGGAAGACGCTCAGATGCCATTATGCATGGAGAGTACATTATATACCCATCCTGGGTGGAGAAGAAGTTGAGAACATGTCCCTATATTTCTGAGGTCATGGTGGTCCCCGTTCCTCATCCAGACATGTGTCATGAGGTCTGTGCCTGTGTCATACCCAAACCAAACATGGATGTCACCACCAAGATGATCAAAGATCACTGCGATCCAATGTTCATCAGCGATTCCCTCCATGAAATGTCAGCCAAACCAGCCTACTATGTTCTGGTGGAGAGTTTCCCTCTCATACCAACAGGCAAACCTGACAGACGGGCATTATCAGAAATAGCGGAAAAAAATCACCTCAATCAGCCTCTAAATTCTTGTCCAACCCGAATGGGCTGCAATGGCAGGCTAAAGTACCCAGCAGGCGGTAAATTACCTCTGTGAGATTAATTTAATCGCGATTTAATGTGTAATATATGTAATCCGTGTATTGTCAAAATAATAGTCGAGAAATATAATCAGAATACATTTGAGCGGGTTTAGTAATCAGATTAATCAGAATATATAGTGTGAACAAATTTAGTATCATATTCATTTTATCATTTCGGTCAGTGGATATTTTTCACCAAATATTGCATGTATGTTACTTTCTCTCTTATGATCATTATTGAATTTGTGTACTCGTACTTGATAATGTTACTAAATATACTAAACTATATTTACCATTAAAATGTTTCATTTATATTATTGTTATTGTTCTTGTTGTATAATATCATTATTGTCTGCCCTTGACATATATAATGCAATGTATTCATAAAGCGTTATTCTGATAATATGAACATCAGTAGGTCGTTGATCCTTACGAACATAATTATATTTTTAAAAATCCTCTTGGGTAACAGACTAGTTGATACTTAGATTTATTATTTTTTCTTTCTACAAATCTGCCCTTTTTCACACATTTGTGTATTTGACCATATCAAAAAACCAAAACTGAGAAAGAAAAAGGACGTTCGACATCTATTTCAAGATGTCTGATAATTTTCATTCCAATATTTTCTGCAACTTTACACTTTAGACATTTCCAACCTGATCCCAAAAGCATCCTCACATATATGTGCGTTGAACCTGGTCGTGTTGCCCTGTCCTGGTTCATTTGTTTTTTGTTTGTTTGTTTGTTTAACGCCGAACACAGCAATGTTCCAGCTATATGACGGCGATCTGTAAATAATCGTGTCTGGAGCAGGCAATCCCGTACTTGACATCATGAACATCGAAGACCTGGTTTATTTGACACTGTGGAGTATACTTGTAGTTCATTCCTTCACCTAGAGGTACAATGACTCGGTAACATGCCTGCTGCTGTTATGTAGCTGGAATATCACTGCAGTGTCAAACAATATCCACTCATTCACTCTCTGATACGCAAAATAGCCCCGAAGGATGTGGATTGTGCAGAAAAAATGGCTTTTACAGATGACGGCTGGTTTAAAACAGATGATGTGGGCCATTTTGATGAGAAGGGGCGTCTTTTTGTCGAAGGAAGACGCTCAGATGCCATTATGCATGGAGAGTACATCATATACCCATCCTGGGTGGAGAAGAAGTTGAGAACATGTCCCTATATTTCTGAGGTCATGGTGGTCCCCGTTCCTCATCCAGATATGTGTCATGAGGTCTGTGCCTGTGTCATACCCAAACCAAACATGGATGTCACCACTAAGATGATCAAAGATCACTGCGATCCAATGTTCATCAGCGATTCCCTCCATGAAATGTCAGCCAAACCAGCCTACTATGTTCTGGTGGAGAGTTTCCCTCTCAGACCAACAGGCAAACCTGACAGACGGGCATTATCAGAAATAGCGGCAAAAATGACCTCAATCAGCCTCTAAAATCTTGTCCAACCCGAATGAGCTGCAATGGCAGGCTAAAGTACCCAGCAGGCGGTAAATTACCTCTGTGAGATTAATTTAATCGCGATTTAATGTGTAATCGATATAATCCGTGTAAAGTCAAAATAATAGTCGAGAAATATAATCAGAATACATTTGAGTGGATTTAGTAATCAGATTAATCAGAATATATAGTGTGAACAAATTTAGTATCATATTACTTTTATCATTACGGTCAGTGGATATTTTTCACCAAATTTTGCATGTATGTTACTTTCTCTCTTATGATCATTATTGAATTTGTGTACTCGTACTTGATAATGTTACTAAATATACTAAACTATATTTACCATTAAAATGTTTCATTTATATTATTGTTATTGTTCTTGTTGTATAATATCATTATTGTCTGCCCTTGACATATATTATGCAATGTATTCATGTTACAAGATAGACACAATTTTATGGATAACAATTTCTTTAATACTGTGTCTTGCTTGACAACAGTATCTATACCGAAACGTCGCTTTTCACAGTATTAAAGAAGTTGTTATCCATAACATTGTGTCTATCTTGTCATCCGTCAACTTCTAAGTAATGCCTATCAAACAATTTATTCATGTTACCCCTTCGTCTCCTATTCACTGACACTTGCTTGGAAAAACAACAAATAACCTACACCTGTCTTCTCTCTTGTGACAAGATTTGCCTCCATAAGCTGAAAGCCTGCAGTACTGAGCTAATTGTCTTGCAGTACTGAGCTAATTGTCTTGCAGTACTGAACTAATTGTCTTGCAGTACTGAGCTAATTGTCTTGCAGTACTGAGCTAATTGTCTTGCAGTACTGAGCTAATTGTCTTGCAGTCCTGAGCTAATTGTCTTGCAGTACTGAGCTAATTGTCTTGCAGTACTGAGCTAATTGTCTTGCAGTACTGAGCTAATTGTCTTGCAGTACTGAGCTAATTGTCTTGCAGTACTGAGCTAATTGTCTTGCAGTACTGAGCTAATTGTCTTGCAGTACTGAACTAATTGTCTTGCAGTACTGAGCTAATTGTCTTGCAGTACTGAGCTAATTGTCTTGCAGTACTGAGCTAATTGTCTTGCAGTACTGAACTAATTGTCTTGCAGTACTGAGCTAATTGTCTTGCAGTACTGAGCTAATTGTCTTGCAGTCCTGAGCTAATTGTCTTGCAGTACTGAGCTCATTGTCTTGCAGTACTGAGCTAATTGTCCTGCAGTACTGAGCTAATTGTCTTGCAGTACTGAGCTAATTGTCTTGCAGTACTGAAAGAAGTTGAGAGCTGTCTTGGTGTCACCAAAGAGTTAAACTTAGGACTGATATTCAGCCGACATGCCATGATGTAAATGAATTACAGTTCAAAGTGGCATAAAATCAAACTAATTCCCTCGCTAATAACTACATCCTTTTTCCAAATAAGCATATGACAAACGTCATATAGATTAATGTAGTATTGACGAAGATCGCCTTTTACAATCCCCACGAACAATTATAAGCAACAAAACCCTTTTCCTAATTATAAGAATTTTTTACAAAAAGCAGTGTCCATTGTACGCTTCTGACTATATCATAAGCATGTGTTTATGAATCACTATGAAATAGTGTTGATATTCGGTGTCCACGAAACGTAAGGCGTATCCTACCAAACCGATGGCACCAGCCACAAACACAGGCAAAGGCAAATCATGTGTTCACCAGAAAATTTGCTGGTACATATGGTACAAGTGAAAAAGGGAATTGCATCAGATATAATCTTTGGCATAACGAATGGATGTGGCAGTGGTGTATGTTGTCTAGCATCTAGAAAATAGCCAAGGACATATGAATAGAGTTCTCTTCTTCCACACAACATTACCTGACACAAAAGTAAATTCCCATGGGTATCACCATAATAGAGGGTATTTTGTGGAGTGGGGCATAGGGAGATTCTTTAGACAGTTAAACATCTATGTGTGTTTGCGTTCACCATTGAGATACTTTTCTCTCTCCATCTCCCCAAAATGTAGATAATGATCAAAGATAATCAACAGACAAGAATTTGGTTTGTCAAGGAAACCTGCATGGATACCCCACATTAAAGCTTTAAACTCCCGACCCTTAATAGACACAATACGGTATTCGCTATTTCTGGTACTGTTTTACCTGATATAATGTTACGAAAACCAAAAGGTAATATACTTTTCAAAAAAGATGGTTGCACAAAAGAATTCCCTATTGTGACTGGGTACCATATGTTGCCCTGTTATTCCCAGGTAAACACTTGACTTGTCTTTTCACCTGGTATCATTACTATTTGACACACATGTTCATGATATAGTCTGAATCACACAATGCATTACTTATGATTATGGAAGGGCTTTGTTGCTATTATTTACAATCAGGTAACGTTGGATATGTAATGCATGTCACGTAAATAAACTTTCTCTCTTCTTTCACACACACACACACACACAAACACACACACACACACACACACACACACACACACACACACACACACACACACACACACACACACACACACACACACACACACACACACACACCTGTAATCACCTATTATTTACCAATCACCCCGCCTTATCAACAACTAATCACATCGGCACTGTCAAGTACGCCGACGTTATCACGTGTAGGATCACAAGGCTACATCACTATTTTATGTGTCTTGAAATGTTATTATTAAGTTCCAGTGGTATTCTGTTGTACAACATAGATGGGAAATTGTGTAAATACAGCTCTAAAGTAGTTGAACGTGGCACAACTTGAAGTTACACCTTTGTGATTTTGAAAATCAAGATATACTTTTTGGGTAAATGAATATTTGCTGACCCATGGGCCAAATGTTTTAATAAGGATAAACATAATTTTTATTATGTTCTAAAAAGGTGATTGACTTTTGTGTCATTGTACATGTAGTTACACCTTTGTATGCTTTACAAAACCAACCAAACAAGTTAAGTGAAGGTGTGCGCCAAGGTGATGTGTCTATGTTTGCATTATTTACTTCAATGGCGAAAACATTTATCTCCAATCCAAACTCCGTTTGGTTAGTATCCATGAACTCGACCAACTATATGTTGTGTGAGTGAAGCGTCGTTCATCCTTCCTTTTTCATATTTTCAAATACAAGATAATTATGTTTATGAAATATAACCGATTTATCTGGTTACCTCAAGTGCCTAGTGGTTCAGACATCCATACCCGTACATTTTATTGAACATGCTTGAGGTGTCGCATATTTAAGTAAGACTGGTTATCTGGTTACCTCAACTGCCAAGTAGGGGTTACCCCTTACAACAGGCCACGGGCAGACAAGTAGGTCACACCATAGCCTTGCTCCAAGGTTGTTCTGAAAGAAAAGTCCATGGATGTGTAGTAATTCTATCCTCCTAATTGGCAAGTCTAGATATGTGGACTAAGGACTCCATTCTCTTGTTTCCTATTATTTACATAATCTAGAATTAATTATTTAAGCTAATAAATATTGCCTTAGTGCAAGTCTAGTCACACAGCCGTCTGTGTGCTGTGCCTTCAGGGAAACGTGAGAACGTGAGAATGAAACTGAATGAACTTCCTACCGTGCCAAAGGTTTAGCTATCTGGCCTGGTTAAAACTGAATGACACAGCTTGGCTCCATTTCTGAAAAACATTAAAAAAAACAGAGGGAAGTCATGTTACAAAAGTAAGAAACCCTGCCTTTACTGGGCCGAAAAATGGGTCAATCCCGCTGACGTGATTTGAATAACAGAATATTCAGGGTTCGTTTAGGGAGGTTATCCTGCTATATATAGTTCCGTGAGAGTGAGCTATGACAATACTGACACATTTCAAACAAAGACTGGCTGTCGTCAACGTTGCCACACGAGAGAGCACTGTTGGCATATAGAGACTGCTATACTCTAAGCCCTTTATGGGGGTGCGAGTTTAATGCTCATATGAATATCATCCTTACACAGAGACGGACGAACACGATGTACGCGCACTTGGTTCGCTGTTGGTACACGAAGTCAGCTAGACACCATCACCGAGTTTGCACTCCCCGTCAAACTCCCCGGATTGAGACGGGGATGCTATCAGCTCAACTAATTACCATATTAATTTGTACCATTGTTATTCTTATTTCCTTTTCTGTTATGAGTGGAAATCTCAAAAGTCCTTAAACATGGTGTATATTTTATTGAAGGCACAATTAACACTACGTAAAAATTGATTCGTTATTCCGGAAATTTGTTATAAGATTTTACTGGACATTATACCTTATTAAGAATTCTGATTATTCTTTAATCGGGTAGATACAGATTATACGGGATTAGTTTTATTGTTTTATTAATAAACAGTACCATTGTAAAAAGTTTATATGTTCAAAGTCTGTATTATTAATTCTGTAATGCGGTTCTTGTAAAGCTTTGTTGTCATTGTCGAATATACAAGAATTCAAGTACTGATTTCGTTTCTAAGTCAGTTACGAACGAGATGTGCAATTTTTAAAAGTTTTTGTCTGTTATGAATTTATTTATGATCCTACAGACGGCCATTTTTGCATCACTTACTTCACACTCTCAATTGATATGTAGGTTGTATCTTTCAACAGGGGGCGGTTGGGTAGCCTCGCGGTTAAAGTGTTCGCTCGTCACGCCGAAGACCCGGTTCGATTCCCGACATGGGTACAATGTGTGAAACCCATTTCTATATTGATATTGCTGGAATATTGCTAAAAGCGGCGTAAAACTCACTCACTCTTTAAACAGTCTAGGTCAACCATAAGAGTTAGTGAGTGAGTTTGGTTGAACGCTGCTTTTGAAGAGTATGTCAGCTATATCAGGGCGTGTCAGCTCGATGTGGGAAGACAGATGATAACTTACCTAGTTGAGAGCGGAAGGTCTGTGTTTCAACCCCCAGGCCGCGTCATACGAGGAGACGTTAAAAGGTGAGTGAGTGAGTAGGGTTTAACGCCGCTTTTAACATTATTCCAGTTATATCACGGCGTGTCAGCTTAATGTGGGAAGGAAAGCCCGAAGTGATGCAGGTCTCAAACGTTTACCACTTCGGTGAAACCCACGAGCACGGGTATGGTGCTGACAAACCTAGAAACATAATCGGGGCGAACCGGGATTCGAACCCACAATCATAGGTTTCTGGCGTGCCTAAGGGACGCAACTATAGCGCAGCGAATGGCGGCGCTATAGACGACTGGGCCATCCGTGCCCCCCGATAAAAGGTGGAATTTGTTACATGAAGGTGACGAAACAAGGACTTGTCTGCTCGGAGTATAGTGTGTCTGAGTAGAGTATGGATCTATGTTACACTGCGGCATGGTATATCAGTGGGCTAACACTTTAAAACCGGTTCTATTACGTTGTGGGAAAATGACACACACGCACATACACACTCTCTCTCTCTCTCTCTCTCTCTCTCTCTCTCTCTCTCTCTCTCTCTCTCTCTCTCTCTCTCTCTCTCTCTCTCTCTCTCTCACACACACACACACACACACACACACACATACATACACATGCACACACATACACACGCACCCTCTCTCTCACTCACACACACAATCACACTGAAAATAATATTGAACGTTCATTTAAACCCCTTTTCACCTCACTTCACTTCTCATCACCACTCTCATCCCCTCCATCAGACAAGGATATGATAGTGGCAACCCAGGGACGCAAGGGACGCAAGGGACGCAAGTCTGCACAGCAAATTGCGGCGGCTTACACGATTGGACATACGTAGAAACATAATCGGGGCCAACCGGGATTCGGACCCACAATCATAGGTTTCTGGCGTGCCCAAGGGACGCAACTCTGCACAGCGAATGGCGGCGCTATAGACGACTGGGCCCCCCGTGCCCCCCGTTAAAAGGTGGAATTTGTTACATGAAGGTGACGAAACAAGGACTTGTCTGCTCGGAGTATAGTGTGTCTGAGTGGAGTATGGATCTATGTTACACTGCGGCAAATTGCGGCGCCTTACACGACTGGACATACGCAGCTGCAGTTACAGACACAATATGTCAGTTGTAACTACTGTCATAGTTGTAAAATTGATCATTTTTTCCTCAATATTTATATTATAATTAACTGTGGTAATAGTCTTTATTTTGTTATATTAAGTTAAATGTAAGGTGTTGTATTCAATCAGTCTCACATGTGAAGGTCGCAGCTATCTAGAAATTACATAACATCCTTAGAGCATGGTCAGTATTATCTATCTGTATGTGTCTCAGCCTCCATCGCAATGAGCGCTTGTCACACGTTTGCTGATACGTCCAACTCATATCAATATTTTCGGACTACTTCATCAATTATTATTCAACTTATGTGGACATCACTTGGTCAAACTTCTTAGGCAAGCCTTAATCCCTAATCTCGGCGCACGAACTCAAATTTTCTTATCAAGCTGATACTTGAACATGCAGTAAATTCGTGACCATTCAAGGTGTCTAGAGTATATATACTGGCTAGCCCCGGGGGTACCTCACTGTCGAGAAATCCCCAATAAAGGAGCTGTCTATAGACACTTTGTTTGGTTTCTTTGAAGGTAAGTCATGTTCACTTTACTATTTCTCTAAATTTATAAGTTAAAAATTGTTTTATAATTTGTATCGTATATGGAGCAATATTATCAGCTGTAAAGGTATTTAATCTTATGTTATTGACCATGTATAAGTGTAAATATATTAAGTGGGTTGTATCTATTTAACGGACTTATCTGTCAAATGTATGTGCGTTAGGTTTAGACAAATCTATCGTTTAAGTATTATCTCCACGGTATAGCATATATTAAATATCAAACATATTATGATGTTAACACTCGGGTGTCGTGGTAGCAAGCTGTGTAATTTATCTGCGTGTTGATATTTTAGTGTGATTCAGTTATTTTGTATATGTGAAAACGTCGTGTAAATGCAGACGAACTATCTCACTTTGATCAGACCTTTTATATCACACGAGGTATGTACATTATCTTTTAATGTAAGGATTCTATGATGAACAATACATTGCATGTATTACTTGTTCATAAGCAGAATCCAGACTGTTTTAAATCATTTTTTTATAAGAGTTATTTGATGGAACTAGCCTGGCAGACAACGTTAATTTCTGTAGCTAATACATGATGTATTTACATCACACATATTAATGCTAATAGCACAACTAAGCCAGAGCTCAAATCAGTAATAATATCCATGTAATCATTTAGTTAATCTGTTAGCGATGTACAAATAAGATAGGTAACTCTCTTGTACTTAAATAGGTCTGAGCATAATGCATTTGTAACACAGCTTCAGCAAACATGTCTACATTACGAGCAATGCCTAAAATGTACATATATCCATATATTATACCATTCAGTAATGTGAATGGACATTTGTTAATGGGCCCGTTACCTCAGTGTATGTGATGCTATCAGATATAGATTGTTTGCTGCAGTAGTTTAGATGAATTATAGATATGGCCTTCAAGTATAACATATAACAGCATAAAACAATGAATGATTTATGCTCAGAAGTACAGCCAACGCACGTTGTTATTTATATTTAAATCTGCGTACATTCGATACCGATATTGGGTTTAACTAGGTTTATACGTAAATAAGACATACCTTATGGCGGTCCCATTTAGCAAGGCGTAATCATAATTAGGAGTGGCTGAAAATAAGTATCACATAAGATTATGTAAGCTTTGTTCACAGGTATCTTTGTAGACTGACTTTAATATTGTTATTTGTAATTGGTTGTTTTATCACTTAGCCCATGATATATTGGTATATCATGACATTTACACTCTTATGTATAATCGTTGTTTAATATCACGCACTATTGTGATAACTGCTTCTTTTATGGAAACTGTAAATGTTCTATATGACTTTGTCCTTTATATGTAAAAATATTTCTTATTTTAAATGTGAATTGACTGTCGAGAAATCCCCAATAAAGGAGCTGGCCATAGCCACTTTGTTTGGTTTCTTTGAAGGTGTTGCCCGATCCAGAGCTAACTCCCCAAGCCTAATTCTAACTCAAAGAAATTTCCATATTTACTGATGAAATAATGAGGAATCTGATGAATGGGCTATATACATACGGATAGTTTATAGTGATACATTGGATTACCATTATAACCTAGATTCCCACCTTTCCACCGGCAATATCATCAGGTCCTTTATCTTCTGCCCACACTTTCCAATAATCATGGGCGGATACGGCTTTTTTTTTTAAAAAACAGGAGGGTGGGGGGTGGGGGCGGGGGGGGGGGGGGGGGATGGGGGGGGGGGGGGGGTGCACACAATTAAAATCTATTTATTGTCTTTGGTGGTAATTTATACAGAAATTTATACACACACCCCTCTGTATCCGCCCATGATAATCATAATCATTGGGGTGATACACACACATCCCAACGCCCACATCTACTACAACAGACAAAAGAAAAATCAGAACCCTGAAAAAGCATTTGCAAAACAGTAATTGAAATCAAAGAATTATACAGTACAAGTCATAGAAAACACACAGTCTGGTTGTCATCAAATGTTTCCCGCTGTTTCCGCAGGTCGTGAATCGTGCACCAGATGAAGGAGCAAGCATATACTCCGAAACGTTGTGTTCCTCATTATAAAGAAGCTGACATCCATAAATTATCTTCTTTACGCGTATGACTTCTAAATGCCTTTCAAAATGCCTTTTTGTTTGTTTGTTTGTTTGTTGTTTAACGCCACACTCAACCAATTCAACCAATTGCACACAATATATGCCAGGTAACAGTCAGAAAGAGCGAATGAAGTATATTCCAGCTTTATGACGGCGGTCTGTAAAATAATCGAGTCTGGACCAGACAATCCACTGATTGACATCATGAGCATCGATCCACGCAATTGGGATACGATGACATGCATCAACCAAGTCAGCGTGCCTGACCACCCGATCCCGTTAGTCTCCTCTTACGACAAGCATAGTCGCCTTTTTCGGCAAGCATGGGTTGCTGAAGACCTATTCTACCCAGGATCTTCACGGGTCGCAAAGACTTGATAAGCCAGACAGACTATAATTTAACCAACAATGCAATGAGCTGTAGCTCTTAATCCCATATAAAAACATTCAGTGCAAAGGCGCAGTGTTACGACGTAAATTGTAATAAAAAGGTAAATTGTAATACTTGCAGCAAATTGTAATAATTTTGACGTAAATTGTAATAACAACGTAAATTGTAATAACATTTGACGTAAATTGTAATATGCAAATTGTAATAAAAATTGACGTAAATTGTAATAATCTCAACTTGCGGTAAAATGTAATAACTTTTTACGTAAATTGTATTTACCTTATAAGTTAAGTGTCAAAGGCGTTAAATGACTATAACCTATCCTTGTCAGGGTTGGCACAGGGTTTATCGTACAATCGCCATTAAAGTATGGGTGTGGGGGAGGATTTAGGTCGTTATCGTACATTGTTGTATAATTATATGTATATATAAACGCATTGGAATTTCATTTTTATGGTTGTCCAGAAGAGGATTAATTACTAGAATTAACTTAGTTTTCTTATTTATTTGAGAAATACTCTTTGTGTTTTGTACTTAATTGTAATATATCCTATTGACGATTTTCATCATACTTGTTCATATTTAACCTAATGGAATCATATTTCAATTGGTAAAGTAGGTAGTAATATACACAATGGAATAATCAAACGTAACAAACTTACACAAATATATTGATGTGTAAATGTGGAAAGTCTGACCTTTACTGACTGAAGCAAATGTATTTATTTTGCAACTGTATATTTGTACATATTTTATGTGGTGAGGGGTTTACTAAGTTGCAAGAACTTGTCCCCAATACAGTTCTCATTTTGTTCTGTGAATAAAATATGTTTAAACTAAACTAAACTAGCAAATGGATGACATGTCATTCTGCAGTAGTCTGTGTGCAAGCTTATTTATACATGTTCATATACATAATATCAATTTATTATTATTCAAGTTTCAATTTTTTTAACGTTGCTCGGAGGATGTAAAGCAAATAATGACAATGTCCTGGGCGATGTACATGTACATGTAGGTATGTGAACCCGGAAGGACTACCTTTATCAATTATTTTACGTGCTGCTTGTGTCATGTCTGTATTGTTAGAATGATACTCTAGCAACTGTACACATCGAAATATATGACTGAAAGATCCATCCTCGGGTTAAAAATGATGGATTACATTAGGTACGTCTATTCGATAAATAGGTTAATTGATTTATCATCCAATAGTAGCTTAGCTAGGAGTCCATTGCGATAACATTGAGTTACGAGTTACCGAAGAGAACTCTGTGCAACCGGACCCTGAAATTTGTCGATTTGCATTAGAGGTTTACTTTATTTGATAAGGAGCAAATGACCGTTTCCTTGAAACAAACGAGACAATTCAATCGTATTTATACATTATATTTTGACGAAGAATTCAAATACAACAAATGAGTGACAGATCTCCTGTGCAATGTCAAAGAAAAAAAAACAGTCGTCAGCAAATGCAGCATAGATTTCCCATGCATGGGAAAGGAGAATACTTAATACATAACATTATATATACAATATACAATTATTAATATCAAAAGAGGGGCGTGGATATTCTTTACCTACATTGCATATACTTTTAGATATTGTGTATTCTCGATCTCTGTGAACTTCTCACAGATAAATAAATAATAATAAATAAATGCAAACCATGTTACCTTATGTAATATTTGTAGCAATGTATGATTAACATATGGATCATTAATGTAACATAAAATAAAGTATATTTAATGAAATAAATGAATAAATGTAACTGTCTTGATTCCTTTCATATGTCATGAAGAACAAACAACAACTTACTGACAACTTTTGCTGGGATAATAACTCCTTGCCCCAACAACAAAAACAGAATCCATCATGATAACGGCACGAAATCATAATTTAAAGCATACACAAATAATATCCGGTATCTTCGGGCATGTCTTGTTGAGTTTCAAAGAGCATCAGAATGTATAATAAATTTGTTGCAATCAATTATTGCTGAAATATATCTGTTTTGATCAAAATTGAAAGGATGGAAAATCTATAATGAAAAGGGTTTTGTCACTTACGTAAATATTCTGTTGACCTTATACGAAGATTATTCTAAGATCATTAAACTCGGCAATCGTTGATGGATTGTGCCAAGCAACCTTGTTACCAAATTTGGTACCTCACGTATAATGCGGTACATAATTTTCGAAACAGATAATTACGTTTTTCATAAGTTATCACTAATTTGTGACATATATACGGACAAAAATTACCTCAGAGGATAATCTTCCCTGGGGGTTTAAGAGGATTAAAATAATTCACACACACACACACACACACACACACACACACACACACACACACACACACACACACACACACACACACACACACACACACACACACACACACACACACACACACACACACACACACACACACACACACACACACACATACATACAAACACATACACACATATGTATTTATGTATGTATGTATGTATGTATGTAT